AAGTCGAAGAAGGCCCTCGTTTCTCGGGCTTTGAGCGCGGGAGACTATTTCTTTGTGTTGGATGGGTTGTAGCGCTCTGCCCCTCAGCTGGGTTTTGGTCACAGGGTGGGTGCGTGGGGTTTGGAAGGTAATTTCGGTTTAGGTGAAGGAATAGTGCGTTCAGCTTTTGAATGCTGCGCGCGCGGAAGCCCTGGATCAGGCAAAGAGGGGCGTGGCAGCATATCAAGCATGGCTCTTTGCGCAAGGATGACGTGCCAAGGTATCAGGAACTGTGAAGTCACAGCGTCATGTATACTTGTGTGTGTGAATGATACCAACGGGTGCAGGTGCACAGCACTGGTTTCCCCGCTACTCCTGCGAGGGAAGGGAGCATACCCCCCATTAGCAATTGAGCGCGACGTCGGCGGCAGGAGCTAGGAGATCAGGGGCCATACTGGGAACCAAAAGGCCCCACCAGTAGGCCGGAGCTGTGCTAAAGCCAGGCGAATCTCCGAGCGCTTGCGAGTTTCCCCGGTCTGTTTACCCGGCAGATTTAGCCAATAGATTTATTACCCTTAGCAGTCGCTTGTTGCAGCAAAAAAGGAGAGTGATATAGCTTTGCTATCGGGATAGCAGGAGGTGGCAGCTTTTAGGCCAAAGCTTCCGAACACCGACTGCAACTAGCGCTCCTGCGCGGGGCGGGCTAGGGCTACCGGGCGGGTTGGGCTGAGGACCAGTTTGGTAAGGGCTTGGGCGGCAGCAGTGGTTAAGCTGCATGGATCATCATGACGTAACATGAACTGGACATTACACATGTTCGCTCTGTCAGCCCATGAAGTGGAGTTGGATTGTTACACCCTCAATTTGGGGTGGAATGGCGGGTTGCGGTCACTGGAAGTACACGCTAAGCATGGAACCCAGAAAACCGAGTGCCCGCTTGACTTTGCTTCTCCCCACAGCGATTTTCGTCGTGGTGTCTTTCAGCACCATAGGTACATGAGCTATCCAGTACTCATCTCACCTTTGATTGCAGCTCACCTTTGATTGCAGCGCCTCTCAACTCAACAGAAAAGTGCCATAGTAGCTTTTCACTGTTCAACTGCATGGCAGGAACGCATGCATCATATATGTAAAGAATTTTCAATTGAAAGAGGGCCGTCCGGCCCACAGGTTCAAAGGACAAGGAGTTTTTCTTGGAGATCAAGCAAGGGTCAGAACATGGAGAACATGGAAGCTGCGCTATTCCAAGACCTTGGTAACTCCGCGGCCACATTTCACGCATCAACATGGAGGATTTCTACGGGAGTCTTCCGTTACACGACGCTTAAATATAAAACTGTATTCAGGCATACATCCAAGCTGTGCTCACAGGAGTGCCATGCTGGGTGGAATTGCACGACAAAGCGTGGCATCCGTCAGTGGGCAATCGAATTTCAGACGACCGGTATGCAAACTCATGAAGGCTTCCTGTGGACTTCTTGACACGTGTACCAGCGCAATGCTGTGCACAAGGTTGGCTTCAAACCAGTTTGGGATGAATGGCTATTTTTCTATTATCATGCCGGACTTGAGCTGCTGCCTGTGGTGTATGTGGACGACCCAAAGCTGGCCAGGCTGGGAACTACTTCGGTGAGTTACGGCCGCAAGCACATTTGGGATTTTTAGTTGGTGCAACATCACTCATGACTCAGGGTCCATGACAAATCAAAAATTCGTATACAGTAACTTATGACATGAAGGCGTGCTTGGAGTTGACCGTCAACAAGCCGAAAGATTGCGGAAGGTTGCTGCTCCGATCTTCTTGAAGAGACCAAAGATCATCCGGCTAGGCACCCACTGACTCCGGGATCGGCTAGTCTTAACGACTAGTCATCGATGCAATGTGTGGTCATACCATGCCCGTGGATAAAAATTGTCAGCTTGTTCCACTGCATGCGGCGAGTATCTTGATGGAGCAGCTCTATGTGGCGCGCATCTTTGGTTTGGAATTTTCGCAAGTTGGCAAAACTTACTGCAAAATGGACAAAACAAGACACGGGGTGCTTCACTTCATCAACTGAGCTCACAACATTAAGCATGACAACATGGTTGGGTGGGTACAGTAGGCAATTGCTTGAGAATTTGGCCTTCGGCTTGAGAGTCTGCGATCGACTTCCTGTGCACATATGCACATTCAGATAAGCCGCGCGCACTTCCCGTTGGCAAGAGGCTTGGTGTTTGGATGTGGATGTTGTTTTGGTTTCCATTCGTTCCTGGTACACCCCTTTACCTCTAAACCTTAAGATCCTCACAACAGGCCTCAAATCGACAACAAAAAGTGCCACAAACCACACTCAAGCCGAATGACGTTAAGCCACTCATTCAACATATCGGGCAGGCGGAGGAGCGAGAAAAAGGCTGCCAAGCTGTTGGTTGCGCCGACCATGTGAACACAAAGATGGCTAGCAAGGTGAGAGCCGAAAAAGCTTTGGACATGTATTGACCAAACACTACAACTGCTAGAGTTGCTGGTGATTGGGGGCTCGGAGGCGGCAGACTCTAACAGGGACAAGTTGCCCTCCGTGTTTCCTCCACCACAACCAGAGGCTCGCCGGGTTTAACCCGAAACAAAATTCAGAGAGCACTCTAAGAACTTGAAAGTGCCTTGTTTGAAGGCTTTTGCCGCAGCACCAGAATTGCCAGCGGAGCCAGCAGGAGAAGCTTTCCTGGGCCTCAAACCCAGAGCCCGGGGCCGTCGCAAAGGCAAAGGCACCGCAATGCGCAGAAGCCAAAGCTCTTCACCACGCTTCCGCAGGTTGTTGTTTTTGCCAGGAGTTGCGGCGCAGCCGTCGTCTCGAACATCCTTGGTATCCTTGTTGCACGATCTTTGGCAAAAGGCTCAGCAGGGTGAAACAGGGTTCGATGCTTCTCACCACGTTGGTCGCTGTCTCTTGTTGGTTTCTCTCAGGTCACAAGGGGCTGTCGCATTCCGTTTGTTTTCTTTCGGCTGGCCAAAAGCCCTGTCCTGCACTGCAGCAGTGGCTTCGGATCGGAGCTCAGCGGATGTCAGAGATGTCCGACATACACATGTGGTCATGTTTCGCACTTTCCCAGCTCGACAAAGCTCGCATATGACAAAAAAGGAAATGGTGTGACGTGATTGATGGTTAGAAGAGCATGGCGGTTAGAACAACCGTAACCGCGTAAAGTTCAGGGATTGTGCGAACCTACGAGCAAAGGAACGGGTAGTTGCTTTGAGGTTTGGGCCGCAGCTGCACGCAGGTGCCGTGCGAAACAAAAATAAGTTTGGTTGTGAAAGGTTGTCTTAGCCTTTGCAGGTTCTCGTCAGACAGCACGGAGGTCGCAGAGCTGGTGGAGATCCGGGGCAATGCCTGGAAAAGCTGGTTCCATTTGCTATGCCCAGGCACGCCAGGCAGTGCGAGAGGTTGAAGTTGCTTCTGTGAGTTCAGGTGCCGAAGCAACTGCAGCTTTGGAAGGTTCTGGTCTGGGGCTGGAAAGACGGCTTCTGCGTCATGTGGCCCGCAGGCTCCAAATTTATGAACCTCCCCCAAAGAGTCAAAGTCAAGGAGCATAACGGATGCATATGTGTCTTGTAGAGGGGGAACCTTAAAGTGATCATGCTGCATTCTCGTGATGTCAATACAAGCTCCAAATACATCTAAGCCTAACCCTCTCCCACAAATCTGATCGCCTGCCCCACTGAACCCAACCGAGGGGAAGGTGACCTATAAATAATCCTAGGGAAGGGTAACTTGTCATCTTTTTGGAGGGCCATGCTGTTCACGATTGGATAGCTGGAATCACAACATACCAAAACATGCAGTCAGGTATCTCAATTACCTCCGCTCTCACATCGGCCCTTGCCATTGCCGGACTGGTGTTTCCTCGTAGTGCTTTGGATGGATGGCAGGCAAAGCGCAGCAACACGTGGGCCATGTATGCCATGTACGCGTAAGCTTTTTTTGACTGCATTTCTGGCGTGCGCGAGGCGCCTTTGGACCGGCACCTTCACTCAGAACAATCTTGAGGACGAGAAGACTCAAGCGATGACCGAGATCTTATCCTCCTTTCAGGAGAGCATGCGAGGCTACGAGCGCTTCATCTCGTCTTCTGAAACCGAGGCCAGAGAGTCGGAGAGTCAGAGAGTTGTTGAGAGAGTCCTTAGAGAAGTGCGAATCCCGCCCAGCTGCAATTGGACTCGCTGGTCAACGTGAGCGCTACGACCACAGCTCTGCATGGCGCAGCCCTGCTGCCGTTGCCGACGCGGCTGCTTCAGAATCCTGAAGAGGCAGCTGGGAAGGGGGGCGAGCTTTAAAAAAAAACAGAGTTGAAAAAAGCATATGGTTTGAACGGTGTGTTTGCAGTTGTTGTGTTGCTTTTCAGCGCGGTCGTGTCAGGCGTGGAGGCAAAGCTTTGGGCATCGGAGCGGCACCGGCGGCAGCGGCTTCACCGCCGTCCTGGAGATCAGCGCCTCGAACCCGCAGAGCCAGGAGAGCCCAAGAACCCGCTCTGAGTGGCTGGTGGGGGTGGGTGAGGTTTTGGGGATCTACGGGCCCGAACTCGAGGCGTTCTGAGTTGGAAGGGAGAGAAAAATGGAAAGGAGCGAAGCATGCCTGGCATGCCAGGCATGCCAGGCATGCAACGCTCAGCTGAGTTTGGGAAGTTTGGGAATGCTCGCTTAGCAAAAGCTTTTGCTTTGAGGACTCTCCGAGCGGCTCTCCTGGCTCGCTGCCGCTGGACCTTCGCGTTGCCTTGAGCTTCCTAGGCCAGCCCTGCGAGCCCTGCGAGCCCTGCGCCAGCATTTTCCTGTAGTGTGATCTGCAGAAGAGGCCCTGACGGCTGGCTGGGGGCGTGGGCGGCTTGCGCTTTGCTTGCAGCGTCCTGCGGCTCCTGCGGCTTTTGTGGCTCCGGTGCTATGCTTTTCGAGTGAAAAGAAAGCGAAAAGCATGCGAAATCAGTTGCCGTCACAGTGAGTTACAGACAACACTGAATGGCGATTGGCTGAGGGGCAATGGTGACAGGTGAGCGCTGAGCGGCAACGCCTGGAAAAGGAGCTGGAAATGGCCCCTTTGCCCTCAGATTTTAACACACACTCTCTTCAACTCTTGAAGCAGTGAGTGAGTTCTGAGGTGCAGCACAACTTGCGGCAGCACACGGAGCTGGCAGACGAGGCCAAAAGACAAAAACCCTTTTAGAGCAGAAATTCTCCGATGCTAAAATCTGCCACCAAAGATGAAACAAGCATGTAAAATAAGAGCGTGCGTGCGTGTCTGCCGAAATTCATACCTCTCTCTCCTCTTAGCACGCCTCTTTCGGCCGCAAGGCCCACAGCGAGATCGAGCGGACCTGCGGTGGCATGAAGGCAACGAAGGGAAAGGGGGAAGAGAAGCTTTAGGATAAGAGAAGATGAGAGGTTTAGAAGAAAAATGACTAGGAGTCAAAGAGGAAAAAAGAAACAGCAAACTGAGCGAGACAGAAAGAGAGAGTAATGTTGTGTCTTCTTTTGCTTCTTGGCTGAGGCCTCCGTGCAGCACCACATGGCGACCTCCCTGCGGCTCCAGGAAAGAGCCTCAAAGCTTGCAAGCTTTGGCCGAAGCGCCACATTCTGCGACATGATGCGACATGCTCCGACGCTTCGCATTGCTCCTGAGGAACCCTTGGAGGACTGACAGCCATGCCTGCGATCACCATCGCCTCCATCCCTCAAGAGCAACGTTTCACTGAGGATCACGGCAGGCTAATGCAAAATGTCCCAGAAAGCCTGTGCTCGGTAGCCGCAGCCGCAGCCGCAGCCGCAGCTGCTACCCTAAGCCCTTCGACTCTTTCTCTGCCACATGTACCGCGCTCAGCTGGCTGGTGCTGCCCCAAGTCCTTTCCTTTAGTGTTACCTTTCAATTCCCTCAAAGCACCTCTTCAAAGCAGCACCTTTTGCAAAGCACTGCAGAGCAAAGCTGGGCAAAGCTGCAGACAAAGTGAGAAGTGAGAAGTTTCCATGATTAAGTCAGAGCTCACAAACTGAGAGTTCATGTGATGAGCTCACGAATCGAGTTTAAGCCGAGTCCCACAAAGACGAACCGAATTTGAGGAATGCACAGAACTCCAACGCCATGGAGAGAGACCACGAGCCCGGTTACGAGGAGGCCGAAGACCCGGCCGAGCCGGAGACTTCCGCCGATCCAACCGAGACGGCCGAGGCCGATGCTTCCGGCGAGGCCTCGGAGCAAAGGAAATTGGAAGAAAAGAAAAGCTCTTCATAAGACAAAAAGTGCTGTGTGATCATGTGAAAAGGCTGTGAAATAATGTCAGATTTGTGTTCAAGACCGTGCCATGTCGTTGTCACCGTCGCGTTGCTTTGTCAAGGCCAAGAAGCGAAACCGCTGGGCCTTCTTCCGACCTCGAGCAGGGTTGGCCGGGACCCGGCAGGAGCTTCAGGTGGAGGCCCGCACGCAGACGGATCCCATGAAGCGGACGCTGCACTGGGAATTCTCCATGGCTGTTTCGGCCGTGCAGTACGTGGGCTCGGAGAGCGAGATCCGATGTTTTCTGAGTGTCTCCATGCAACCGACCAAACCTCTGGGGAGAGCCTCCGTAAAGCTGCTGACACAATACAGCGCTTGCTACAAGTTGGAGAAGGGAGGGAAGCTGGTTTTGGATCAGCCCAGGCTCTTTTATCAGCGGAAGACTTTTAAGGCGACGCCCAATGAGCTCTCAAAGCTGGAGCTGAAAATCGGTATGTGGAAAGTCTCTCGCTGGACCTTCAACAGCTTCTACGGACTTGGAAGCAAGACATTGGAGCAGATCATGAGTCGGGAGTCACAAACCTCCATCCGAGTTAGAGAGGCTTTGACTCAGGCGGACCGGGATGAGAAGAAGAAGCACCGTCGACCCGTATCCGACGTGGGTGTTGTCTACGGAGAAGTGGTACTGGAGGAACTCTTCGACGTAAAGCTCTTCTTCGAAAATTGGAAGTTCTTTCCAAAAGCAGGTGCCAAAATCGGTGGAAAGAAGGAGGAGAAGCAGTTGACATTTATCGTGCCCAAGAACATTCGTGCGAATCCAGCAAAAAACAAAAACTGCCAAACCGCTTCAACGAACTGGCGCGGCGAGGGATCTGCACTGGAGCCATTCACATGGAAGCAAGCGGATGTGGCCACGCTCAGAGCGACAAGGCAGAGTCTGCATGCTCAAGGTATATTCCATGTTCCTTGCCTCCTGTTCCCTGAGGAGAAGCCTGCAGCAGATGTATTTCTTGGCAAAGCTCTACAGCTCAAAGAAGACTGTCGGTGACAAGCACCCCCTGTCGAAGTTCATCGCAAGCGCCGTCTTCAACTTCCAGTCCGTGCTGGATGTACCCTTCTTCAAAGGGACGTTAAAGCGCTTGACCCACCAGCTTGAAGACTTCGACGTAGGTAGAGTTGAAGGCCTGCGATTTTCTGTCACGGAATAGGCGAATAGCCAGTGGCCATACGCGACATACGCGACTTCCTAGCCCTCTTCCCCTGCCTTTTGCCTGCTCTGCGCAGGCAGCGTGACGTGCATCTTCTGCCCGGTTGGCCAATCGAGGCCATCTCAGCTGGAGATGTACCAGCCACGAACTTCAAGCTCTGTAGGGCATCTGAACAGCGCCGCAGCCCAATCTATCATGGTTCAACGACATGCACATGTGTGCACATTGCTGTGTGTGCTTTTTTGAAGTCTATTTCAAAGTCGGTAGTCCAATTCTTTCACGTCTCACCAAACCTCACCAAGGCCAAGAGGTGCATCTGGTGATCCGAGTGCAGAAGTGCGAGGGTCTCGCAGTGGCCGATGATGACAAAGGCTCTTCCAGCCCTTTCGTAAGAGTCAGTCACCTGTCACAGCCACGTTTTGCTTGAAAAGCATGGTTGGCAAAGTGTTCATACGGACACATCAATCTCTGTCATGTGGACAAGTCCAGCCTAAGCCCCCATTCCATGTTCTTCAGAGAGGTGACTTCGGACGTATCTTGATGTGTAGATTCATGAGCGCGGTGAAACGCAGATCTACACTTATTGATGCATATGCTGCATCTGTCCTTTCTTGGGTTTGGGGGTTTTGGGAGAGACTTGCATACGCATTGCCGAGGTTGGGACAACATGATGCAGACGTCTCCACCACTAAAAGACACCATTCGACCTGCCTTCAATCACACTTTCTACTTCCCGGTCCGCTTCTTCAACGACAAGGTTACGTCCAGAAGGTACTTGCAGACTGCGTTTCGTCATGAGATGAAGGCCAAAGGAGACATACAGATCCAAGTCTGGCACTATGATGAGGCGTCCTCTACATCATTGGGTGTAGCAAACATCTCGCTCATTTCTGTTTTGAGCAGTAGCCAGGCCATGTTTGGATCTTTCTCTGTTGTTGCTGTATTGATACTTCATCGAGAAAACAGCTCAAACCATTTTCACAAGACTGTGCGCACAAGGCAATCATGTGGTTCTTTGTACTCTGCGCGGGCGTGTGCAAGTTGACAAGAATTTGGAAGAGGAGCTTGAGGATGTCCAGGAGAGCAAGGATGTGCAGTGGTATGACCAAGAACGCCAGGTGCGGTGGTACGATGGCTATCGCACTCCATTAGTGGGATGTCAAATTGTAAATCACAATGAGGCATTGGTTCACTGCGAGGCTTTCTTTTACCCAGGCCTTCCCACAGACTTCAAGCAGCTTGCCGAAAACGTGGAAGATAATTCTGCCGAAGACACGTTCTGGAAGACAAAGAGTTCGGAGTTCCTCAAGAAGAACCAAGCCTTCGCGGAGAATTATGCAGGGCCCTTTCCAGATTCAATTGGCGCTAAGCCATGTTCCATTGAAGTTTCCCGTGTTTCAGAAGTCCGCACCTTCCCATGCTTGGGACTGCACCAGATGACCCTGGAGCCGATGCCTTTAATGTCCTTCCTTTCTGATGTGATTGTGAGTCAGGAGTACACCAAGCCTGCCAAACTTTTGCATTGGATCCATTGCATTACCTACAGGATGAATGCCAAGCAGGAGCGGACTGGGCTGATCCTCGAGGACATGTGGAAAGACTCGCAATTTTTGCTCTTTAGTAGGGCGGGATCCCCGCAGGACCATGCAATCCTGTTGTGCTCTGTTCTGAGGGGCATGTCTAGGGATGCATTTGTGGTGAAAGGGACTGTCCGAGTGCCTGCAGACTTTGGCAAGTCACGGCTTGTGGAGCATACCTGGGTCATGACGCGCGAAGATGGTGGGTGGGTGACTTTTTGGGAACCATCCACAAGGGAACTGTATCACCTTCCTCAGCGCTGGGTGAAGCGAAAGAGCAGCCAGGCCGTTGTGAAAAGCGACGATGCCCTTGCTCTTCAAAGAGAGGATGAGGATGACAAGGACTTCTTGGAGGCGCAGGACCGTGCCACTGATGAAGTGCAGGATGTGATGATCGAAGCCGGTGACCTTCACGACGTCCCGCGTGTCGGCCGAGCTCCACGAGCCAAGCAACGTGCCCAAGATGCCAAGGGGAGGGATGCTGTGCGCCACCAGATGCTGGAGATGCAGCAGCGTCTGCCCATCGCCCCAAGGTCTTATTTACTCTCTGAAGGCGACAAAGGCTTGCTGGTAAGCTGGCTGCCCTATGACTCCATCGATGTGGTCTTTAACGCAGACCAGCTGTGGGCCAACCATCAGAACCATCATCCTGCATGTATCACCTACAACTTTGAGGATGCCACGCCAGTGAATGCAGCCGAGACTGTTGAGGGCTCCTGGATAGCACTGCTCTCGGAAGAAGAGCGGCAACAGGTGACGATCAACCCTATCACGGCCAACGTTTTAATGGAAGCACCCATGAAACCGGCCCTGGTCCAAAAGCTCCAAGAGCAGCTCGTTGCCGACTCCCAGGAGCACTGCTCCACATCCTAAACCCTTTCTGATTCAACTTTTTTGTTCGTATGGTCCAGCTCAATTCTATGGCATAGCATAGCAATACTTAAATACGTTACGTTACGTTACGTGTGTTTTGCTTAGTTTTGAGTGCAGAAGAGGAGAATCTCCGACTTCTGCGGGGACGGAACGGCAAAGAGACCAGCTTTGATCAGCGAAGTGCCTTGCTGACCCAGTCACTTCGGCAAAGGAGAAGCAGACACGCCGTGACACGCCAAGCTAAGCCTAGCTTTAAGCCTAACATTAACGTTATGTAATGCTATGCCAGTTATGCCACCAACTTTAGGCCTAGCATGGAATTGTTCAGTCCATTTTGAAGGCTGAGTTGAATCGTGTGTTTCAGCGAGGTTGGAGGACTTCATCGACATCCACGAAACTTTGCTGGGCTTGGACATCGACTTCTGCCCCTTGTGGAGCAAGGACCGCAGCGCTTGGAAAGAGGAGGAAAGCTATCTGGCCCGCTTGCTGGAGCCGCGGGCACAGGACCAAAAGAAACACATTCATTCCTTCGAGAGAGAGAGAATGAGAGAGACTGAAAGCTGGCTGCAAAGCTGCAGAAAGCTTTCTTGTGTCTTCTGCTTTAGCCGAGCCTGAGGAGCCTTGGAACAAGCACGGAACTCCTTTTCGTCAGCCTGATCCGTAGGCACCTCAAAGAGAAGCGAAACAGAAATGACTCTCAAAAACTTGGGAGCTTGAAAGGCTTTCTTAGATTTTTGTCGATGCCATTTGAGGAGTGGCAAGTACCGGTACTACTCCACTATCCAGGCCATGGACAGCTTGCTGCTTGCCGTATCTTGCCATGGTCTAAGTCAAAGTTTCTGAGAGGCAAGTGAGGAGAGCGGCTGGGGTGAAGTGTTGGCAAAGATTGCGCGGTTTGTGCAAAGTCACTGGCTGAGCACACTGAGCACCTGCCAGTGGGCTTCTGCTTTGCGCAGCCCATGTTGAGGCAAGTCCTTCTTCCCCACCATGAAGGGCAAGGCATCGAGTTGCCCGGGCTGCCTTTGACAGCCACCTTTGTACAAGCAGGTCTTCAACGGCTTTCCCCTCCATTTTTCCAGTGCAGACAAGGCCACAATTTGTTTCAATGACAGATGCGGCTCACATTTTCCTTCTGCTCATGTTGCATCAAGCTGAAGTGGCACCAGTTTCTCAAGTTGCTGTGGTATGGGTGCAAGGAGCTGGTTCGAGACTACGTCATGGAGTCTTCTGAGTGCTCACGATGTGCTTGCCATTTTAGATGCGGGTTAGAGACATTCGTGAAACAGGTACCAGGACCTGATCCAACTTGGCGACCATGCGATCTTCACCGTGTTCTGCCGAATCTTTCCCATGGCGGGAGGCGGCTCAAAAAAGCACATACCCGGTATGCGGTATGCCTAACATGCCGCAGGTTTAGGAAGTTTGGGGATGTTTAGGGTTCTGTTAAGGGTTCTTCAGGTTCACAGCCATGCTCTGACTGCACAGGAATCTCTTCCACGTGGTTATTCTTCGGAACACAGCTCCCACTGGAGGCATGAGGCGAGGACTTGTGTAGCTGAAGCTCCGTGCCGAAACTCGCTGCGAGTCTGGGTGAGGCATCTTCTAACTTTGGCAGCGGTGAGCCCGGTGAGCAACGGAAAATGCGGATCGCAAAACATCTTGGTCCTTCAACCGCTGCAGAGCAGCTTCTTTGCAAGCTTTCAAACTTTCGAGAAGGGAAGGTTTCACAAACTACGCCCAAGTGAGGCTTTTCACCTCGCGTGCAGAAGTCACGTGTACCTTTGGAAACGATCCAACATGCTAACCAGAGAATGTTGATGCCTTAACAAACCGCTTGGTGCTGTCACGGTTTTACAGCATTTCTTCCGAGAACTCCAGGACCCAACACTTCACACATCTTCACACAGAAGGCAGGCAACCTGGCACAGGTCTTAATGTTCATGAGCATGTTATCAGAGGTGATGCCGGAGGTTGGTCCTGAAAGCTTGGCTATTGCCGGGAGGTTGGTCGCAGAGGCGCGGGTGATGGCGGCGGCCGCGGCGGCGGCAGTGGTGGTGGTGATGGTGGTGGGGGTGGTGGGTGGTCGGGGTGGTGGGGGTGGCGGCGGCAATGGTGGTGGTGATGGTGGGGGTGGGGATGGGGCGGCGGCGGTGGTGGTGGGGGTGGCGGCGTTGGCGGCGGCGGCGGTGGCGATGGCGATGGTGATGGTGATGGTGCTGCTGCTGGTGCTGGTGCTGGCGGTGGCGGTGGCGGCGGCGGCGGCGGTGGCGGCGGCGGCGGTGGTGGTGAGGGACGGTGGCCACGAGGAATGGTGCAGCGCGGTGCGGCGCGGTGCGGTGCAGCATGGGTGTTAAATGCTGCGGAGGGTGCCCGAGGACGGGGTGCGGCTCGGTTGGCTTTTGGGCAAGGAAAAGGTCGGCCAATGTGGCTTTGATGTCCTAGCCTGGAGCTTCTTTGGGGTCCAGGTCTACCATTTTTGGGCTTAGGGTAATTCAACTATTCGTAGGCTTTTTCCGGGAGTTGTATAAACGGGTGGATGATTTGGCTAGAACCTCAGAAGGGAGGGTTAACCACTTCGGCTCGTCTAACTGCTTTTGTTCTTTAACTGCTTTCCGCTGGGGGAAGTCCGAACCGAAGTACGGAAGGTCTTGTTTGAAGATAGTATATAGAGAAGTGCTAGGAGTTGACGTGCAGGGGTTCTTTCACTTTGGCGCAGAGTTCGGCTAGGCATTCTTTCTTACGGTGTAAGGGGTTCGGCGGGGCGGGTGTTTTCAAGGGCCTTGTGTTGAGAGATTCCTCAGGATGTAGATGTTCGATGTTCTTCGGGGGTCTTATCTCGACGTCTTTTGCTATTGTTGGGGTTGGGGCTTTGTCGGGGAGGTTCAGGGAGGTTGAAGGTTTCAGGAACGATTGTTACGGCGTTGGACACGGCTTGGGATTCTCAGGATGGCTGGATACGGTACTTGAGCCAGCATGTCGATGTGCGGCGGTTGCCGCGAGTCTCCTGTGCATAGCTCGACAAGGCTTCGCAGGTTTGGTGGCCAGGTTTGACATCCATTGCATTCAAAAACGGCAGCATAAAATGTGGGCGCATGGCAGTCAATCACTGAGGTCTGGATCCAGACGCGTGCTAGCTAGCCAAAAGCGAAAACAACCCCATGCCATAGATTAAGTCGAGCGAGACTATCGGCAGGGCCCGGGATCTCCGATGCCAACCTCGGGCACCCTTGGGCATGGTTTTGCAGCATGTGAAGCTTTTCTCATTCGCGAGCACGCTGATTATGGCACTCAAATCGAAGATTGAGTATCCTCCCAGACCGAATCCCAGAACGGAATCGTTTCCGGAGACTTCTTGGCAGCTTGATATTGCACATCTCTGGCCTCACCTGCTACAGAGCCCCCGAGTGTCTGCCAGAACGAGGAAGGAATTTACAAGCTGGAATCCAGAATTCGCCGCTGCTGCCAAAAAAGCATGGCGACATGGCTTCGTCAGCCCTGAGCCGCAGACATGGCCAGCGCATGGCCACTCGTCGCTTGGAGTCGCTTGAGCGCCTTCCTTCCGGTGGCCTTCCGCAGAAATTTTCGAAAAGGGCGGCGTCTTGGCCCGGCGTGGCCCGGCGGGCCCCAGCTGCAGATTTTTTGTGGAAAGTTCGTGGTCGTGGCGGGCCTGCGTCGCTTCTTCCGGCTCAAGGATAAGAAAATTCCAACATCACAACATGTAAGGTTTCATCCATTAGTTTCTCCTTACATGCACCCATCCAGCACTCCATCCATTCATGTTTGCAAATTTGCAGAGTGTGTCGGAACGCAGGCCTGGGTTTTCAATGAAAACGAGCTAGCCCTTTAATATTGGGCAAGCTTGCACTACTTGTTGTCCAGCGTTACGTTCGGTGCCCCACCGCACCATGGTCCCACCGCCGCACCACCACACGCCACTGTGCAACCACCCCACCACCCCGTCTCACCACTGGATGTTTTCATTTATGCTGACGTGCTTGTCTCCCTTATGCGGTTCGTGACTTCAATCCCGACCCCATAATCCTGACAACCCAAACCCTCAATTTTTTGGACCCTAAACCCCCAAGAGCTTCCGAAAGTCACTGATTGCTAGCAGGCCTGTTGTGCGCTAAATCAATTCATGTAAGGCCCCTGAATGAAGAGAGGTTGAACCGTCTTTAACTAACGAGAGTCTTTCTCGTAGCATCATATGAAGACGATAGGGCGGTGATGTGGTGGTGTGCTAGTGTGGAGTTGCCAGGGCGGCGTGGTGGCGTGGAGTTGCGAAGAGTGTTTTGGTGGTGTGGTGCTGCGAGGGTGGTGTGGTGCTGTGGTGGTGCGAGTGTCGTGAAGTGTGGCATGGTGTGGTGTGTTGGTCCGAGGGTGGCGTGGTGGTGCGACGTTGTGCGGTTAGTGGTGTGGCCACGGCACTTATGGCTTGTCGCGCCCGTCGCGTCGGCCAAAAGCGTGGTGAAACCATGCTACTGGCATCCATCGCCACGAATAAATCCAGTTTGCACAATGGTTGGCCGGATGCATTAGCACGGGCGAATTTACACTTAATGGCAAGCACACTTCATGTTGATGTGTTCCCCCCATGCGCATATCACTGTGCTGCGCATAGACACACGTGTCGACGCTTTTCACAAGGCGACCAGCCAGGGCAAACATATTCGCATTTGGGTTGTGATGACTGCAGGGAAGCGCCATGGTTAGCCTCCAGGAGGATGATGTCCCACCATGCAAACAAAACAATCCAAAACACGGTGCCAAGCCACACTGTGGACAAGCGCGTTTTTGAGATGCTTTTTCACACTTTCTTCGCATCCCAAGCACTGCTGCTGTCCCAGAGTGGTCCAGGGGCCACTCCACCGTCCCCAACGGGCCTGACCTCACGATCCCGAACGAGGAGTCCGCGTCCTCCTGCCGCTGCTGGTGTGGGGTCCTAACCGGGATTTTGCCTGGGCCAACATGGAGCAATCGTCGGGGAATTTATTTGAATACAGGAACTTGCACGCAATACACATGGCATGGCAATTTGTCTTGCTCTGTCGGGCGGGGCACTGAACTTCCCTTGCTTGGGGCCCCTGCTCCTCAACCAGCTGGATGGCTTGTGAATGCTCTTGGACAAACAAGAGTGTGGCCATGAATATGGCAAATTGGGCTCAAACTACCGGCTTCTAAGGCTGATTGCTTCAATAGTCATGGATTTGGGGCATAGCATTGCTGCTTCGCATGGATAATCCTGGTGAAGGTCTCCGCATAGGTTTGGAAGCGTGCCGCAGACAGCTCCTGATGCGCATGGCCTCGACTGAGCGTGGTTTCCTGGCAACTTGCTCACCAGGGGTGCGGGGAAATTGTTCCCAAAGAGGGAGCTGCCGCCTGGACGCACCACACATGTTTGAAACCAGTTTCCACCACCGGTGGCACGAATTCCCGCACACCGGATGTCCTGGTCTGGAAGTGCGAGAAGCGTTCCCTGAACTCACGCTTTCGAGTTTTCGGACTCTGCCCGTTTTAGAGTATTGGCTTGTAAATGCTTGTAAGATTGAGGTGGTCCAGACCCACAAATGGTTGGGATGTTTGCCTGGCGATCGGAATGCAGACGTGGATTCTCACCACGAGTGTTTTGGGCCAACAAGTAGGCGTTATATGATCAACATGTTCCAACAGCACTGCGCACTAAATATTTTGGAGCAGTTGCTCTTTCGGCTGCTTGTTTTGGAGCTGGTCATCGCAAGACTTACCACGACCACTTGCAAAACTTCAACGCAAAATGGCGGCTGCTGTTTCGCAGCATGTTTGGACCACCGTTGGAATTTGCCTTGGTACGAAATTCTGCACAGCTGGAATTTACGCGTGCGCGAATTCACGGCAAATTTCCGCACGGGTCAAATGTATCCTTGACTGGGTTCGTAATCTCCACGAACACATGGTCGACACAATTGGAAGCATTCGCCACAACCCTGGGTCGTTCCAACTGGATGGATCACGGCGCGAGTTTTCGTACATGGCAGCTTTCTTGTGATGCGTTTGTCGCTTTCGTGCAGCAGTGGACACATGTAAATTCTAATCCCACCTTTGCTCAGCACGATGTTGAAGAGTGTCGCCTCCACATTTGCCTAGGCCCCAGAAGGGCTGGCTCATGGAAATGCAGGCTTGACGTGACTTGACTTGACACTTTGGCTTATCAGCCTGTGGACAGCGATGGCGTGCATTCAATGTCCATCAACGCAAGTCTAACACGTCGGGGACCCCATTTGTGGTCTGTGCCCAGTTGGAGAGTCTATTCTTGATCTACCTGCCTCATTCCCGTATTACAAATGCAACATAACGATCTGGCAACATCCATGTTGGGACGGGTTTTGGGTGAAGTTAATTCGTGGTTGGGTGTTCCCTTGCAACCCCCGCCATCAAATAGAGGCTCCATCACTTCCTCCTGATATGGGAGGAAACTTGCTTGAGGGTTCCTCTTCGATTTACGACCCCAGAATGATTCGGGTCAAAGATTTCCCAAGCGCAAAGACACTGGCAAGGACAA